ATGGTTTTTTGCCATGTGATGAGGCGAGAGGCCCCTGGCTGAAAGCCTGGAGCTTTATTAACAATGTTTTTTATTTTTAGTACTTTGATGCCATAACATGTTATGAAAAAGTTCAGCTAGTTCTGCTAATCTCCAAGGAGGAACCTCTGGGCTTTGCACTCTTCTGTTGCTGAGGCTAGATCAACTGTAAAGCATCCTGCAAGGTGTAGCTGGAAAACCCAGGATATCTCTGGCCCTCTGGTTTGTTTTTTCCTGTGCAGTGTATTGTTCTTTTTGCAAAGAAAGCATCAGGATAAATAGTTACATGACAGGTGGCCTGCAGAGGAGACTAGTACTGGGACTGTCCTTCTCTCTGCAATCAATAAAGCAGGGCTGAAAGGTTTTTTTCAATCTTTAAATATAAATAATATGAAATAAATAGTTTGTGGTCCCTGTTTTTTCTGATGGCTTCCATGGGGAACTTGAGCATTAGAACTTTCTCAGCTGTTCACTGGAGGGCCTGAATCATTAAGGAAAAGGTCTTTTCTCCCAACCCTTCATCAGGCATTTGAGTTAAAAATGTAAACAAAAAATCTCCAGAGTTTTAAACAATCTAATTAAAAATTGCTTCCCTTGCCAGTTACTCAGGTTTCACTTTATGATGATATGTCATGATCCTATTTCTCTGTAGAAAATATCTATGAAGCCTTCTAGGTAAACAAGACCTGGATATCTCTTTAATCTGATTAATAAACCCCTTGCCCTCCAAAGTTGTGTCATCTGCTCTGTATTTAGAGAATCTGTCTGTTTGATCAAGAACTCCTCCTCACTGGTAAGAGCTAGGACCACCACATTCAGTGTACAGCTTCCTCTTCTCAGAACTTAAAGAAACATGAGGGTTTCATTGTGGCAGGAAAACGGGATGTGCCAGGAATGAGATTGCTTCTCATAAAACCAAACAGAAAAGAGACAATCACCAAATCACGTATAGTCCTCAAAATTGACATAACTCAGCGAATGTTGAAAGAGACTGAACTAAGATGAGCCAGAAACATAGGATGAGCCTGGAATAGGTTAGCTTCTTAAGAAACCTTACAGAAAACAAGATAAAATGGAGGAATTTGGAGTAGTGCTCTGTTTTGACATGGCTAAAGCAAGGATTAAGGTTTGAAAACTAGAAGGCACTATTATTGGAAACCAGATTGACTATAGCCCTTTTTTGTTAAAACATAGCACCTGATGAGACGTTATAGGGATGAAAAAAAAATACACTTGATGGCAGTCCCATTTTAAAAAATTACTAAAATGAACGACATAAGACAGCATATTTGAAACATACAATCATTTCAATAAAGCATGTACATTTTTCTTTTATTTAAAAAAATGAATCATGGTAAGAACCCGATCATTGCTGACTAAATCTGCTAGTTTCTTTATCATAAAGATCTATCTAATCAATCTGTTTCATGAAGCTGAGAAATGGCACAGCCCATATCTTTCTGTTGAAGCTACCTTCATTCTAACAGGTTCTATTTTAAACTCACAAGACAGAAGCAAGTGAGTTTTTTAATTCCATCCTTACTGTGATTTCAAAATCTATTCAGAGGTTAGCAGAATTTGCGTGCTGTCCATGCCCATGACACAATAGGGCAGGGTAAGCGAGGCGTGGAATTTCAGACTTCTCATATAGTGCTGTGTGGTTTGCAAAGATGAAAGGAATGTGTTCTCTGTTGTAGGATGTGAACACTGTCCGTTTGACAGCACAGTGGGGAACGGAAGCGTCACACTTTCCTGGGATAGAAAGGTAGGGGGGACCCAGGCTGTTCTCACTTCCTAACACAGGTCCTCCTGTTGGCATAAGGGGGCTTCTCCAATGCACATGCAAGATCAGAGCCTACCTGTGGCTGCCTTGTTGAAAAGACCCCTCCAGAGAGTCAGCGGCTGAACAGCAACCCCCTTGTGACAAGTAAGAGGGTTTCTAAAACCTTCACAGAGCCTCTGCCAGGAACTGGAATTTTAAAAATGAGTCCGTTCTAAAAGAAGCCGCGCTAACAGTGGCCCTTGGCCTCCCTGGGCTTGTGTGTCCATGTGTGAACTCGCAAGTGCCATGGGGGAGTGGCACCACTCCAGTATAGGCTGTAGTTTATTCATAATGCGTTGGATGGGTTTAAGTTGGGGGCTGTAGGTGATGACAAGTGGATTAAACCCACTGCATGAAGCCACTATTGTTGGTTTTCCTGGGTCTGTCTTGAAGTAGATGGTTTCTGGGTATTCGTTTGGCTCTTTCAATTTTTTTATTTTTTATTTTTTTGTCACTATTTTATCTACAGGGACACTGTCAAATACAGAACCCCTCTGGGTTGGATCCAAGACAGTTTGAGTTAGTAAATTGTCATCTCTAATAGTTAGAAATTCCAAGAATGGTTTAGGTCTGGCACCATGAGACTTCCAGGAAGTGTCACTCTGATTGAAGTCTCCCCCTCTCCTGACCATGCAGCTGTTTCTCCTACACGTTATACATGGAGGTGTGAGGAGACAGTCATGCTGTTCCCATGTGTGATTTGCTGTCTGTAGAAGACACCAACAAATAAATACCTTGAGTTGCCTGTTATTTGTTAGGACATTGATCCACAAGCATCTGGATCATTTTCTTCTGAGTTCTCAGTGACAGACTGCGTCTCCTCCCCCTCTTTTGCCTGTGTGGTCCATGTCTAGGTTATCGCCATTGATTTTAACCTTCCAGTTGTGTGAATGTTCCCACTGGCTTTTAGTATCACCAACTAGATCAAATTTATGCTAATACTTGAGCAATTCCAGTTCCTCCTGTTTGTTTCTCCGGTGCCTGGCAGTGGTGTGTGGGCAAGGCAAGAATGCGTTTTTGTTGTGTCCTTTGCTTCCTTGCTCTATTTTGTTCTCAGCTCTTTGGCTTTGTACTGAGTGCTCATATTAATGCTCTTTTTACTGGCCCGTTTTGCTATTGGTTTAGTGCTCTCCTGAGTACTCAGATCAGTACACCTAAGACCATCTCATCCACCTCTCCTTCAATACCTCCAATGAGGGGGCGCTGCACCCTCCCTTCGAAGCGTATTCCATAATTTGACTACCCATGGATGTAGAAAGTTTTCTGTAATATCCAACCTCCATTTTCCTTGCTGCAGTTTAAGCCTGCTACTTCTTGCCCTACTTGGAGAACAATTGATCATCGTGCTCTGTAACCGCCCTTGACATACCTGAAGGTTGCGGTCAGCACCCCTCTCGGTCCTCTCTCCCAGGAACTAAACACGTCCAGGTTTCTAACCTTCCCTCGCAGGTCGGGGGTTCTAAACCTTTGACCGTTTTTTCTGCTCTCCGCTGGATTCTCTCGGTTTATCACTCTATCTCTTACAGTGGGGCCCCAACATGGAACATTTCTCCAGCTGAGGCCTCCCCCGGGTGGAATTGAGCCCTACAATGTAAGAACTGTGCTGGTTCTGCCTAGAGGCATTCTAATGATCAAAATACAATACTAGTTATTGAATGTGTGGGCTGACCTGCACAGCCTGGCTTCTGCATTCCCCCTCCCCCGGTAGAGCGGTGGTTTTGCACGTAATCACACAAAGGAGTCAGGATGCCTGAATTCTAGTCACGTGCCTCAGTTCATTCATCTGTAAAAGGAGGCAAATATTCCCGGCCACACAGACGCTGGAGGGTTGTTCAGGTGTGTGAAGCACAGGGAGAGCCATGGGAGGAAGCTCTAGGAATATGGGGAATTGGTGCTCTCCGCGCTGGAGCTGCACTACTGGTGCATGTGGTTTGCATGGTAAGGGTCCTGGGGGTGCAGAAGTGACACATGCTTGTTACACGATGGGCACCTGGAGAAGCTGGTTGGTGGTGGCGGGGAGATGACTTGCCTTCCTTGTTCAGTGTCATGCTGCTGACAGACTAGCCAGACATGTTCATGAGAAGCGGGTTCAGACACGGAACCATTTCTCTCCCTACATTTCACCCACAAGCCGTGAGGTCAGGTGAGCTGGTGGGTGTGGGCTGGGAATTAGCTGAGCAGGGTGTCTGAGAGCTGCAGGGGCCAAGAAGAGTCTGGCTGCTCAGACTGAGGGGTGACTGTTTTGGAGGCCTGTGTAGAATTGGCCAAGTGAAGCCAGCTCCTGCGAGGTGCTGGCATGGAGTGGGGGGCGCTTGGCTGTGCCTGGGACACTGTGACTGCAAGCCAACGCCTGGCCTGGAGCCCTGGACAGCCTCTCTCTGCTGCTGTGTCCCCCGCTGGCCTGCCACAGGTCCCATCTCCCTAGTTGGGAAGGAGCTGGGGAGACCCCCCCGAGCTAAGTGACTGAGTCCGGGGGAGTCCAGTGCTGAGCGCAGGTGCCTGCAGGACTGGGAATGGCCTGGCAAGGCTCAGACACTTAGTAGCACATCCAGGTTCTTTCCTTGTCCCACGGGCCTGGCGCTCTCAGGCTGGCTGAGGCTCCCTGAGAAGGGAGCTCCCAGCCTGCTTTGCCGAGTGACCCCTTTTTACTCCTTCTGGGGGGGCAAAGAGGGATGGGTAGATGCTCAGGCCCTCGGATGAGGGGGTGCAGCATGCATCTGATGTGGCCCAGCTGGCATCTCCCTGCATGGGCCAGGGAGGCAGGTGCTCAGCCCGGCGCTGCTCTGTACCAGGCCCAGGTCAGTGTGTGCTGGGGTGGGGGGTCTCCAGGCCCTGGAGGAAGAGGCAAGGTTCTGCTGCCAGGTAGAGTGAACTGCAGCCTGTGGCCAGACAGAAGCTCTGTTGCTGAGTCCCCCACGCATGGTCCTTGGGCAGGAGGTTGAGGCTGTGGCCTGGGGCCCTCAGCTGGAGATAATGTGGAGAAAAAAGTCAGTGGTTCAAGTGCGTTGTGAGGAGGGGATGGAGACTCCAGCCACACTGTCCAGGGCTCCCCAACCCACCTGGCAGGTGCAGATTGAGTCCTGTCCAGTGACTGGGGCTGGGGCAGAGTCACTCCATGTCCGCAGTGCACCCATCTTTGTTCTCTCCTTCCTCCCTCTAGAAACCAAGGAGGAGCTTGAAGAGTTAATGTCTGACATCAAAAAGACAGCGAACAAAGTGCGCTCCAAATTAAAGAGTGAGTATTAGCGAGCAGCACCGGAAGGAACTGGCCCTCGCTGCTGCTCTCTGTCTCTCAGCTGCCTGAAGAGTCCCCGTGTCCCGCTGGACTCAATACCCTCCCCACCGAGCCTGCAGGCTTAGTGATCTCTACGGCTGCCCTGGGGTCACTCGCTGGCTTTCAGAAGACCTGGGAGAGGGGCTCCTGCAGACAGTGCACAAGGCTTGTATGCAGTGCTCGTGGGACAAGGGGGATCCAGTGGATCTAGTGGACTGAGATTTCCAGAAAGCCTTTGGCATGATCCCTCACCAAAGGTTCTTAAGTAAGTTATCATGGGCTAAGAGGGAAGGCCATGAAACAAAGGGTAGGAATCAATGGTCAGTTCTCAGAATGGAGAGAGGTAACTAGTGGGGTCCCACATGGGTCAGTCCTGGATCATAAATATTCATAAATCATCTGGAGAAAGAGGTAAACAGGGAAGTGGCAAATTTTGCAGATGATACTAAACTACTCAAGATAGTCAAGTCTAAATCAGACTGTGAAGATCTTCAAAAGGATCTCACAAAGCTAGAAGACTGGGCAACAAAATGGAAATGAATTTTAATGTTGATAAATGCAAAGTAATGCACATTGGAAAACATAATCTCAACTATCCCTAAAAATGATGAGGACTAAATTAGCTATTACGACTCGAGAGAGATCTTGAAGTCATTGTGGCTAGTTCTCTGAAAACAGCCACTCAATGTGCAGCGGCAATTAAAAAAGCAAATAGAATGTTAGGAGTAATTAAAAAAAGGATAGAGAATAAGACAGAGAATATCTTATTGCCTCTATATAAATCCATGGGATGTCCACATCTGGAACACGCGTACAGATGTGGTCGCCTCATCTCAAAAAAGATCTCTTGGCATTGGAAAAGGTTCGGAAAAGGGCAACAAAAATAATTAGGGATTTGGAATGGCTACCTTAATAATACTGGGACTTTTCAGTTTAGAAAAGAGGAAACTAAGGGGAGATATGATAGAAGTCTATAAAATCATGAGGTGTGAAGAAAATAAATAAGGAAAAGTTATTTACTTATTCCTATTACACAAGAACTAGGGGTCACCAAATGAAATTAATTGATAGCAGGTTTAAAACGAATACAAGAAAGTAGTTCTTCACACAACACACAGTCAACCTCCTCCAACAGTCAATCTCTGTACACTATATTCTCTGGATCCCCTTTGTCCACATGCTTGTTGACCCCCTTAAAGAAATCTGGTAGATTGGTGAGGCATGATTTCCCTTTACAGAAATCATGTTGACTTTTCCTCAACAAATTATGTTCATCTATGTGTCTGACAATTCAGTTCTTTACTCTAGTTTAAACAATTTGCCTGGTACTGGCCTGTAAGTGCCTGGATCACCTCTAGAGCCTTTTAAAAATTGGTGTCATAGTAGCTATCCTCCCAGACATGTAATACAGAAGCTGATGGCTACAAACCACGGTTACTAGTTCCACAATTTCACATTTGAGTTCTTTCAGAATGCTTGGGTGAATGCCATCTGGTCCTGGTGACTTGTTACTGTTTAGTTTATCAATTTGTTCCAAAATCTCCTCCAGTGAGATCTCAATCTGGGACAATTCCTCAGATTTGTCACCTAAACAGAATGGCTCAGGTTTGGGAATCTCCCCAGCATCATCAGCCGTGAAGACTGAAGGAAAGAATTCGTTTAGTTTCTCTGCAATGACCTTAAGGGCTCCTTTAGCATCTTGATCATCCAGTTACCCCACTCGTTGTTTAGCTGGCTTCCTGCTTTTGATGTACTTCAAAGTACAGTGAGCTTTTTAATTGCTCACTGCTTCTTGTACTTGGTTGTTAAGCCATGGTGGCACTTTTTTGGTTCTCCCAATATGTTCTTAATTTGAAGTATACATTTAAGTTCAGTCTCTATTATGCTGTTTTTGAAAAGTTTCCATGCAGATTGCAGGGATTTTACTTTTGGCGCTGTACCTTTTTATTTCTGTTTAATTAACCTCTCCAGCTTTGTGTAGTTCCCCTTTCTGAAATTAAATGCCACAGTGCTGGGCTGCTGAGGTGTTTTTCCCACAGAGATGTTACATTTTATTATATTAGGGTTGCTATTTCCAAGCGGCCAGTTACATTTACCTCTTGAACCAGATCCTGTGGCCCACTTAGGACAAAATCAAGAACTGCCTCTCCCCTGTGGGTTCCAGGACTCGTTGCTCCAAGAAGCAGCCATTTAACATGTCAAGAAACTTTTTCTCTGCATCCTGTCCTGAGGTGGCGGGTATCCAGTCAATATGGGGATAGCTGAAGTCCTCCATTATAGTTGAGAGGTTTTTTTATAGTCTCTCTAATCTCCCTGAGAATTTCACAGTCTCTGTCACTCTTCTGGTCAGGTGGGCGGTAATATATGTCTCCTGCTATATTCATATGATTAGAGCCTGGAATTACTATCCATAGAGTAAATTTCAATTGTGTTGACGTACCCCTCCCCCAGACTTCTTTTGAAGTCTCCTGCTATATTCATATGATTAGAGCCTGGAATTACTATCCATAGAGTAAATTTCAATTGTGTTGACGTACCCCTCCCCCAGACTTCTTTTGAATACCCCAAGGGTACTTGTACCACTGGTTGAGAAACACTGTCCCAGTCCACTCCAGAGCCCAGCCCACCTCCCTGGTGTCCCTTATCCAGCCTTCCTAATGGGGGAAGCCAGCTCCAGCCCTGGGGCTGTGTCTACACTGGCGGCTTCTTGCACTAGAACATCTTGAGCAAGGGTTCTTGTGCAAGAACACGTCCACACTGCCCTGTGTGAGATGTGTTTTTGCACAGGAGCATCCATGGCCGTGTGGACACTCTCTTGCGCAAGAAAGCTCCGATGGCCATTTTAGCCATAGGGGTTTCTTGCACAAGAAATCCCTGCCGAGCGTCCACACTGCCCTCTTGTGCAAGAGAGCTTACACCAGTTAGAAAAGAGCATAACTCTTGCACAAGAAGTCCTCTCTTACCATGCTGTACTATAAATCTTCTTGCACAAGAGCAGGTGGGTGCTTTCTAGAAGAGCAGCTATTCTTGTGCAATGGATGCAGCTTTCTGAGGGTTGTCAGTGCCTGGAGTAGCTGCTGCTGCTGCTGCTGGCTGTCCTGTTGTGCCTAGGGTGGGCAGTGCAGGGGTAGGACTTGAACCCACCACCCTATGTTCCCCAGACAGATGCCCTAGCCCCTAGTCCACTCCAGAGCTCACCCTCCTGCTCTCCCTTCAGGGCATCCCTTAGCCTCCCTTCCTAATGAGGAAGCTGGCTCCATCACGGGGGCAGCCTGTGGTGTCTGTCCTGCCCTGTTGCTCCTAGGGTGGGCAGTTCAGGAGTGAGATTTGAACCCACCACTCTGGGTGGTGACACAGTCGGGTTCATTTAAGACTTTTACTTTGTTTGATTCTATGCTTTTGTTCACATACAGCTCCACTCCCCCACCAGCACAACCTGTTCTGTCCTTCCGATATATTTCATACCCTGGTTACTACTGTGTCCTAGCGATTTACTCATTCCACCAAGTTTCTGTGATGCCTTTTATCAATAGGCTGATTCAATACAAGACACTCTAGTTCATGCATTTTATTCTTGAGACTGGTCACTTTTTAGCTGTCGGCCATTACCTCACATGATTGGATGGGACTCTTTTCATTTGACTGTTTCTCATAAGATCTCTGTATGTTATGAATCCTCTCCGCGAATCTCCATATGTACACCCTCCCCTCAGGGATGTCTCTGTCTGATCCACGTGCCCTGTGCACCTGTCAGTTCTCCCCTGGCCCCTAGTTTAAAAACTGCTCTACAACCATTTGCATTTCAAGTGCCAGCAGCCAGGTTCTGTTTTGGGTTAGGTGGCTTTTAAGGGCCTGTGAGGGACACAGCTGCCCTAGGGCCCTTTCCTTGGGCCCCGGGCCTGGATGCAGCTTTCTGAGGGTGGTCAGGCATGATCTCTGCTTTCGGGCAGGAGGCCTTTTCCCACATGCAGATGGAGCCCTGGTAGGAAGCAAGGGAAGGAGGCTGGTGCGTGGTCGCAAAGAGACCGCGCTCTGCGTGTGCTGGCAGGGTGCCAGGCTGCCCGAACAGAAATTCTGCCTTGTCCTGTGTTCACAGCCCCCTACCGAAATCCCCAGATGCCCAGCAGCTGCACATGAGCAGCTCCAGTCTGCAGCACGAATATCCGAATCTTCCCAGCACAGGTTTCTCCCCTTGGTCTGTCCAACGGGGCGAGGTGCCTGTTAAGAAGACACAGGGCTCTGGAGAGGGGACGGGCGTGAAGGGAGAAAGGACACAGAGTCAAGGAAGGTCAACTTATTTCATCAGTGTACTTCCTTTTGTTGGCATTTTCCTGCCTTGGGGCAGCACAGAAAGGGCTGGGGGAGCCTGACTGGCAGCTTCCATTACCAGCAGACTCCCTCTGTCACTGCCAGGGCGGGCGGACGGACCGGGGAGCACGTCACGGAGCAGGGCACTGACTCGGAGAGAGAACATTTGAGCCTGATCGTGGAGCTCATCAGGCGCGTTGTAGGGGCTGCACTGCCTCTCCAGCCAGCATTCAGGTGTCCCCAGTGTCCGGAGACCAGCGGTAGCGTCATCGATCGCAGTGCTCAGTAACAGACCACTTGTCCTTTCAGAGGAAAGCTGCCATCTCGCCCTCTTAGTAGGAGAATTGGCTGCTCCTGTAGCTTGAGGAAGGTAGTTGCCTGGCCTCTTGTCTCCCTTCTGTAGATTTCAAGCGCAGTACATTGCCCTTCCCTGGCTCCCACAGGCGCATCTGTAACTAGATCCTTGTGTCTGGCAGTAAAAGCACATCCCCCTTCCCTGGTCCATTTCTCACCCTTCTCCTCGACAGCAGCCCTGGCCCCGCAGGGCGACGAGGTGCTAGACCCGCCCTGACTGCCTGCTTCTGGGAGACTCGGACAGCTGCTCCTGTCTGTGACAGCAATGACTGTCCTGGGGGGCGGGCGAAGAACTCCTCTCGCTTGGCTGCAGTACCAGCACATCTGCAAAGACGGGTTTGGCCAGTCACGGGGGACAGGACGCCCCGCGAGCCGGATCTCTTGCTCAGCTGCGCAAGCGAGCAACGGGCCTTTGAATCCAGGGGAATATGACAGGGACTGGCAGCCATCTGCGGGGGGCTCTCTCCAGGCAAGCAGGGACCCTGAAAACACACCGGGGGGATCGGCTGAGCATGAGCTGCCAGTGCGACACTGGGGCCAAGCAAGCTGATGCGACTCTGGGGGAATCTCGAGCAGCAGCAAAGTGGTTTTACCTCCTCGATCTGGCTCTGCTGCGGCCGCTGCTCAGTCACCATGTCCTGCTCTGGGGCCCGTGGGTCAGGAAGGGTGCTGGTAAATTGAGGGGCTGAGAAGAGAGCCAGGAGCATGAGTGAAGGGTCAGAAAACCTGCCTGTGTTGAGACTCTGGGAGCACAGTCCGTTTGCTTCGCCGAGGGGTGACTTGATCATGGGTGTCTGATCAGGGCTGCCAGTGGTCCCTCCTGCCTTGGTGTGGGGCCGCGCTCATCCGTCCCCAGCACTGATGAGCACAGCCCCCGAGCCCATCTCTTGGGGTCATATCCCCGTGCACGGCTCCCAGGGCGCCCCGCTGGCAGGCTGAGCTCAGTGCTGCAAAGCACCGCGAGCTGCGGTGTTCCCGCGTGGGGGTCTCTCACTGACCTTGAAGCTGTCCTCTTGGGGAGTTCAGGGGATGCTTTAGAATCATAGAACCCCAGGGCTGGAAGAGCCTCAGGAGTCATCAAGTCCAGCCCCCTGCCCAAGGCAGGACAATCCCAACTAAATCAACCCGGCCAGGGCTTTGTCAAGCCAAGACTTAAACACCCCTAGGGATGGAGACTCCACCCCCTCCCCAGGGAACCATCCCAGAGCTTCCCCACCAGCCTGCTTTCCGAATGCAGTGGGGGCGCTAGGTCAGCTCAGGAGTGGAGTTGGCGTCAGAGCACTCCCTTCCCACACAGAAAATGCCTGGCACTTAGAGACTCTGCCTGTGACGGAGGCCCCGCCAGGATCCGGGCTCTGTAACCCCTGGTGCCTTAGTGCTGTGCTGCTCTAGAGCCCTCTCACCAGCAGTCAGGTCACAAGCACAAGGTCTCACCCTGGCGTCCACTGGCCTAGTTACTCCTTGCAGCCCTTCCAGTCCTGGGTCTCCCCATATCTGCCCCTCCCCAGTGCTTAACTACAGACCCTCCTCAGATCCTTTGCCCCTGGTTCCTCAACCCCAAAGGAAAAAGCCAGTCCCAGCTAGGGACCTTTGGCCTGACCCAGCCTGACCGCTCTTGGGCTCTTACGTTTTATCACAGTCCCAAATGACAATCTCACTAGCAAACTAAAGAATTAGGAGCAGGCTGCAATCGCTGTCAGGTGTGGGCACACACGGAGACAGACTGAGCTCAGACAGTCGTTATCAATGCTCTGCAGTCGCTGTCAGGAGTGGGCACACACAGAGACAGAGCTCAGACAGTCGTTATCAATGCTCTGCAGTCGCTGTCAGGAGTGGGCACACACAGAGACAGAGCTCAGACAGTCGTTATCAATGCTCTGCAGTCGCTGTCAGGAGTGGGCACACACAGAGACAGAGCTCAGACAGTCGTTATCAATGCTCTGCAGTCGCTGTCAGGAGTGGGCACACACAGAGACAGAGCTCAGACAGTCGTTATCAATGCTCTGCAGTCGCTGTCAGGAGTGGGCACACACAGAGACAGAGCTCAGACAGTCGTTATCAATGCTCTGCAGTCGCTGTCAGGTGTGGGCACACACAGAGACAGACTGGGCTCAGACAGTCGTTACCAGTGCTCTGCAGTCGCTGTCAGGTGTGGGCACACACGGAGACAGACTGAGCTCAGACAGTCGTTATCAATGCTCTGCAGTCGCTGTCAGGTGTGGGCACACACAGAGACAGAGCTCAGACAGTCGTTACCAATGCTCTGCAGTCGCTGTCGGGTGTGGGCACACACGGAGACAGACTGGGCTCAGACAGTCGTTACCAATGCTCTGCAGTCAGACTGGAGGGCGTGGGCACACACAGAGACAGACTGGGCTCAGACAGTCGTTACCAATGCTCTGCAGTCAGACTGGAGGGCGTGGGCACACACAGAGACAGACTGAGCTCAGACAGTCGTTATCAATGCTCTGCAGTCGCTGTCAGGCGTGGGCACACACGGAGACAGACTGAGCTTAGACAGTCGTTACCAATGCTCTGCAGTCAGACTGGAGGGCGTGGGCACACACAGAGACAGACTGAGCTCAGACAGTCGTTATCAATGCTCTGCAGTCGCTGTCAGGCGTGGGCACACACGGAGACAGACTGAGCTTAGACAGTCGTTACCAATGCTCTGCAGTCAGACTGGAGGGCGTGGGCACACACAGAGACAGACTGAGCTCAGACAGTCGTTATCAATGCTCTGCAGTCGCTGTCAGGCGTGGGCACACACGGAGACAGACTGAGCTTAGACAGTCGTTACCAATGCTCTGCAGTCAGACTGGAGGGCGTGGGCACACACAGAGACAGACTGAGCTCAGACAGTCGTTATCAATGCTCTGCAGTCGCTGTCAGGCGTGGGCACACACGGAGACAGACTGAGCTTAGACAGTCGTTACCAATGCTCTGCAGTCAGACTGGAGGGCGTGGGCACACACAGAGACAGACTGAGCTCAGACAGTCGTTATCAATGCTCTGCAGTCGCTGTCAGGCGTGGGCACACACGGAGACAGACTGAGCTTAGACAGTCGTTACCAATGCTCTGCAGTCGCTGTCGGGCGTGGGCACAAATGGAGACAGACTGGGCTCAGACAGTCGTTACCAATGCTCTGCAGTCGCTGTCAGGCGTGGGCACACACGGAGACAGACTGAGCTTAGACAGTCGTTACCAATGCTCTGCTGTCAGACTGGAGGGTGTGGGAGCAACGGGGCTCTGTCCTGGGTCCAGTACTAGCAATATGCTCATTAACAGCGTGGATAATGGAGGTAGAGCATGGATGGGAGGGTTTGCTGTTCCATGTACTGGACACAGAAGCCCTACTCTGTTACGTTAGAACATCAGAGCGGCCAGACTGGGTCAGACCAAAGGCCCATCCAGCCCAGCGTCCAGTCTGCCAACAGCGACCAGTGCCAGATACCAGAGGGAGTGAACAGAACAGGGAATCGTCAAGTGAGCTCTCTCCTGTCATCCGTTTCCAGCCTCTGACTAATAGGCTAGGGACACCATCCCTGCCCATCCTGGCTAATAGCCATTGATGGACCTAACCTCCAGGAATCTATCTAGCTCTTTTTTGAACCCTGTTAAAATCCTGGCCTTTACAACGTCCTTGGGCAAGAAGTTCCACAGGTTGACCGTGTGCTGTGTGAAGAAAAACTTCCTTCTGTTTGTTTTAAACCTGTGGACTGTTCATTTCATTTGACGACCCTGAAGTTCTTATGTTATGGGCGGGGCTCGCCAAGCCACGGCAAGCCCCACTCGCCAGCCGCGCGGTTTGGCATGCTATGCATGCGCAGACCATGCTGCGCGGCTATGCCGGCTTGTAATCTACTCACCACGAGCAAGTAGATTACATTAATTGTCGAACCCTGGTTATGGGAACAAGTAAATAACTTTTTCCTTATTCAGTTTCTCTGCACCAGCCATGAATTTATAGACCGCGGTCCTATCTCCCCTTAGTCTCCTTGTTTCTAAGCTGAAAAGTCCCAGTCTTTTTAATTTCGCTTCGGGACCTGTTCCAACCCCCCAATCATTTCTGTTGCCCTTTTCTGAACCTTTTCCAAGGCCAATATATCTTTTTGGAGATGAGGCACTATTCAAGATGTGCGCGTCCCATGGATTTATATAGATGTCCTGACACTTTCTCAGTGGAGCATGTCAGAGGGGGTATGTCTACACTACCCCGCTAGTTTGAACTAGCGGGGTAATGTAGGCATACCGCACTTGCAAATGAAGCCCGGGATTTGAATTTCCCGGGCTTCATTTGCATAAACTGGGCACCACCATTTTTAAAATCCCTGCTCGTTCGAACCCCGTGCCGCGCGGCTACACGCGGCACAAACTAGGGAGGTCGGACTAGGCTTCCTATTCCGAACTACCGTTACTCCTCGTGGAATGAGTGCCTAGTTCGAACTAGGAGGGTAGTGTAGACATACCCGGGGAGAGATGTTTAAACTGGTAACCAGTCTTGCTGTCTCAAAATGGAAGAGAGAGCTAGAGCTAGTGGTTTGTACTCAGGAAAGCTCCTTTCAGCCAGTATCTCAGGACATGAGTGCAGTGGCTCCAGAAACGTCTCTAATTCACAGGTATTCTAGGCTTTTGGGGTCGGTTTGCAAAGCACTCTCTGCTAAACAGCCCAAAATAAGCTGTATTCTTCTGTCCATGACCAGGTATTGAACAGAGTATTGAGCAAGAGGAGGGACTGAACAGATCCTCTGCTGACCTGAGGATCAGGAAAACGCAGGTGCGTCTGTCTCCGGCCGGATTTGGGGTTGGGAGGAGGGAGGCTGAGAGGAGCTTTGTGCACTAATGTGCCCCAGAAAGTGAGGGAGGACATAAGCTGCCGGGATCCTGCCTGGAGCCCTGAAAAGCATGTCACGTGCCTCTTCGCAGGCATGATGCAGGCGCAGTCATGGGTGGTTTGTCCAATGTGCCAGCGAAAGTGCTCACAGGCTCTGTGCACTCCCAGCTCACACACCCAAAACTTCCATGTGGGTCCCATGCTCGGTGTGTGTCATGGGAAAGGGGTGTGCTCATCAGTGCTTCTGGGTGGGCAGCTCAGGTGTCTGGGGTTTTCATACACGTTCTGAAATATCTGGCCCAAAGGGATTTTATTGAACCAAGAAATCAACTATAGTCCATGCACGTGGGGGACAGAAAGGCCCCTTCTGTAGCGTGTCCTAGAAACTGGCTCCTCGGTGCACTTTACAGGACATGAAAAGAGGCTTTGCAGGGTCAGAAGAGATGTGGAAACTGAATGACACAGTCGGGAAGTTTATGCCCCAAATGTGACCAAACTAAAAAATTTTAGAATATGAACTTCTGGATTTGCACTCTGCAGGCCCATAATGTGGCCTGGGAATTCACTGCCTCCATGGGGCCCTGTGTGTCCTGCTTCAGGCACCGACCTGGCTGGCAGCCTGGGAAAAAACAGAATTGGAACAGCTTACACAGTTCTAGTTCCCATTGCAGTGAAGTTCATTGCTGACTGGCGCTGTCTCTCAGCAGGTTTCTTAGAGGAGAGGATCATGATGGTCCTTCTGGCCTTGAAATCTATGAGGCATCATGTCCCATAAAGCCTGTATAGTCTTGAGCAGCATGAATTCATTAGTGCATCCAGTCCCAGACAGGCAGGAATTGAATGGCCTGGTAACATTTTCTAAAGTGACTTAGCCACTTAGGAGCCCAGGTCTCATGAGACTAACTTGTGCTAAAAGCTTTGAAGTGCTGCTTCGGGCTAGATGGTGGCCAAACCCACATATTTGAGGGTGCAAAAAGCAAAGGAGCAGAATGGCAGAGGGATGGTACCACGTGGTTAGACTCAGCAATAATGGGATGAAACTGAGCAAAGGCTCCGGGAGAAGCATTATACGAGTATGTGATGCACTAGATGTTGGGGCACCCGGAATAGTAATGGACCCAACGCCTGACTCGCCTGAAACTGGGCTGGGGAAAGCCCTGAGAACACACTGTAAGTCAGGAACAATTGTACGCTGGGCCGGTCCTACCTGGAGAATTGGCCTAGCATGAGGAGTCATTCGATTGGCTGTTTCACTGCCAAGAAATCACTCTCCTCTCCAATGTCTCTGACTCCTGTCCCGAGTGAGGCCGTGGCTGCCTGGCAGACCAGGGCTGCAGCAAACACGCTGGAGAGTGTTAGCCGCCAGTGCAGTGGCCGGAGCCCCCTTGCAGCGGCTTTTCATAGAATCATAGAATCATAGAATAATAGGACTGGAAGGGACCTCGAGAGGTCATCGAGTCCAGCCCCCCGCCCTCAAGGCAGGACCAAGCTCCGTCTACACCATCCCTGACAGATGTCTATCTAACCTGTTCTTAAATATCTCCAGAGAGGGAGATTCCACCACCTCCCTTGGCAATTTATTCCAAGATTTGACCACCCTGACAGTTAGGAATTTTTTCCTAATGTCCAATCTAAACCTCCCCTGCTGCACTTTAAGCCCATTACTCCTTGTCCTGTCCTCCGTAACCAAGAGGAACAAATTTTCTCCTTCCTCCTTGTGACACCCTTTTAGATATTTGAAAACCGCTATCATGTCCCCCCTTAATCTTCTTTTTTCCAAACGAAACAAGCCCAGTTCATGAAGCCTGGCTTCATAGGTCATGTTCTCTAAACCTTTCATCATTCTTGTCGCTTTTGGAGCATCGCTTTGCATCCCAGCAACCCTGGCTCCTCTGCCCGCAATTGGCACCAACGTTCATTGGCCGTTGTGCCCAGAGCTCTGCCTGCCCGGCCTTGGGGAAGGGCCCGGCCGTTGTGCCCAGAGCTCTGCCTGCCCAGCCTTGGGGAGGGGCCCACCTGTTGACGACCATGCTGACTGGTCTCTGCTGCAAGTGGGAGCAGTTTTAGACCCTGTGCTGCTTTCCCTTTCCTTGCAAGTCCTTTCTGCTGGGTAGGTTTTTGTGGGGCTGCGCCGCTCCGTTCCCTGCACTGACTGTGGCTGTGAGCGCAGCAGCTGCTCATGATGCATGTCGCCTGTGTCTTGCTCCCTCTGTTCTCTCTCAGACGTAAGAGGCTCCCCAAGCTGCCTCCTCTTGTGAGGCCAGTGCTGAGTCCCTCGAATGCGCTTTCCTGGGATGCAGGTGGCTGCTGTGGGGGGGTCACGGCCCCGTGAGGTGCTGGGCCCTAGGAACCCATCGCTTCGGGCCTGGCTCTGTGGGCTCTGTGTCCCAGGTGCAGTTTTGGTGCTCACCTTGCTCCCTGGGGGAGAGCCGGAGGTGCCTGCTCTGGTCAGACTGTGCCCCAGGAATGAGCCTCAGCATGTCCCCATCCTGCTCAGGGCTTGCTCCCGCCTGCGCCTGAGGCCCCGCTGCAGGCCCCAGGGCCCAGAGGAAAGAGGATGAAGGGCTCCCATCCTTGGGCTTCTGGCTCCCACACCCCCATCCTTATGCAGAGGGTATTTCACAGCCAGCGCCAGGCTCCACACCGACAGCGTGGCCATGAGACCACGGAGAGGGCCCTTGCTCCACAGAACCAGCAGAGCAACAGGCCGGGGCTGCGGGGGGGGAGGGACCCAGGGCTCTCTGTTGCCCGGGTTGCCAGCTCCCTCTCCTGGTGCCGGGGGCCTCATGCACCCTCAGGACTCTGTATGGTGGGAAGGGACCAGGCTCAGGGCCGCTTATCGCAGGGGGGAGGCACTAGCAAGGACCAGGCACCTGATGTGTAGCGAGGCAGGTCAGAGCTCTGCCCACCCAGCGTGGACCTCCCCTTGCTACGCCAAGGTACCGGCCACGGAGGCGCATGGCTGGAAGCAAACACGCCTTAGCTCTCATCCAGCTGCGTGGAGGCAGGGCCTCTGGGCAATTGGATTGATGTGGACAACATGGAACACACCACAGCAGCCCCTCCCCTAGCCAGGCAGGGTAACGGGGGACGATCCAGCCCCTCTCCTGGCACCGGGCCGGCCCGGCAGGGTAACGGGGGACAATCCAGCCCCTCTCCTGGCACCAGGCCGGCCGGGCAGGGTAACGGGGGACAATCCAGCCCCTCTCCTGGCACTGGGCCAGCCTGACAGGGTAACGGGAGACGATCCAGCCCCTCTCCTGGCACCGGGCCGGCCCGGCAGGGTAACGGGGGACGATCCAGCCCCCTCTTCAGATATACCAGGGAGACAGGGCAAGCTGCACACAGTGATGCAAGGGAAGGGGCGTGGCAGCCCGAGAGGCTGCTGGGGGAGGAATTGTGTCCCAAGAAGGCTGGGCTGACTCCCCAGGCTCCTCTCCCAGGAGCCCCCATATCTGGTGCACCCACATTTTCATTTCCCGTCCATGTTTCCTTGCCCCAGGGCTGCTGTTCCCCAGGGAGGGCGGGGGGCTCTAGCATTGCTGTAGCCATGTATCTGGCTGTTTAGCTCTTGGGACAGGACCCTCAGTCACTTGGGGCAAAGGTCCCCTCCCCCCTGTGCATGCGTCCCGTGAGTGCTGTGGGACAGGCCCCCCGCCAGTGCTCACCACTCACACCTGCAGCAACTCAGCTCTGCCCCAGTGTGCTGTGTACAGCAGAGCCCCTGCCCTCATACGGCCGCAGGCACAGGGCCGAGCCTGTCCATGTGCTAATCCCTGTGCTGGCAGCGCCCTTGTGATCACTTGGCATCTGCCAGAGGGCGAGGACGGGAGGGGCGAGGTGGAAGAGAGGGAGAAGTGATGGGCAGAGGAGAGATTTGGTCCTGAACAAACTCTAACGTATGAACGGCCAGACTGGGCGAGCCCAAAGTCCTGAGTCCAGCCCAGAGTCCTGTCCTCGCACAGTGGGCAGTGCCAGGTGTGCCACAGGGAATGACCAGAACAGGGAATCATCCAGTGATCCAGCCGCTGGCTCCCATTCTCTGCTTCTGGCAAACAGAGGCTAGCGACACCATTCCTACCAATCCTAATAGGCATTGATGGACCTAACTTCTGTGAATTTATCTAGCTCTTTTTGAACCCTGTTATAGTCCTGGACTTCACAACATCCTCTGGCAAGGAGTTCCACAGGTTGAATGTACATTGGTGTGAAAAAATACTGCCTTTTATTTCTTTTAAACCCGCTACCTATTAGTTTCATTTGGTGACCCCTAGTTCTTGTGTTATGAAAACAAGTAAATAAATTTTCTCCACACCACTCATGATTTTATAGACCTCTATCATATCCCCCCTTAGTCTCCTCTTTTCTAAGCTGAAAAGTCCTAGGCTCTTTAATCTCTCCTCATATGGGACCCGTTCCAACCCCCAATCATTTTTGTGGCCCTTTTCTGAACCTTTGCTAATGCTGAGAGCTTTTTGGCGAGGAGGCGACCACGTCTGTGAGCAGTGTTCCAGATGTGGGCGGCCCATGGATTTATAGCGGCAATAAGATATTCTCTGCCTTATTCTCTATCCCTACCGATGATTCCTGATGTTCTATTTACTTTTTGACTGCTGCTGCACCTGGGACGTGGATGCTGGGTATGGATTCATTTAGCAATTTGACTTGGTCTTCCTAGAATACACTTGGGACCCTGCCCAGTGCTGGCTAGGACTTGTGCTGGCATGAGCCAACCTTCCCCTTTAGACCATTGTGAACCTCTGCAGGGAGCGCCCAGCTGTACTCAGGGTCTGTATTCCACTTGGGTCTTGTTACTTCGTAGCCCCAGGTTTTCTGGAGCACTTCCCTGTAAACTGGCCTGCAGGCTACCCAGATCGGAGTGTTCTGTTCTGCTGAGGGCCTGCCAGCCCCCCAGGCAGCTGAGTTCCTGCAGAGCAGCGCCCGTTTGCCAGGGGAACTGTTACAGTGGCGAGGGCCACACCGTGGTGGTCCTGGGGCGCTCAGGGCTGAACAGAGCTGGAGGGGCTGTGAGAAAGGAAGCCCTGGGTCTGGCCTGCTGTTCCCAACCTGTGCCCTGAGCTAGAGCTGGCGTTCCGGGGGAGCTGCAAAGCGTTAGCGAAGGCCGAGCAAGCTGCAGAGCCACCCGCCCGGGGAGCCGCGCAGACGTGCAGAGACAGGGGAGGGAGTGTGCAAAAGAAGGTTTAGAAGAGAAACTGGGGAACTGCTCCTCCGAGAGCGTGACCCTGGCTGAGCCGCCTCCGGGCTGTGAGGGGGCCTGGTCTCTGCTTGGAGCCTGCCCTTGCGCCCGCTCCGGGGTGCCCACTTCAGCGCGTCTCCGGTGAGCGAGGGGCAGGCCATGCCTGGCTGTGCAGCTGGGGCTCAGGACACAGCAGGACGAGGACTAGGAATCCGACAGACAGCTGCAGTGGGGCTGGCTCAGGGACTCCCCGCCCCAAAGGCAGGGGGCCAGCAGGCACATTCCCTGGCTGCGCCAATGCTCGTGTTCCTCTCGGGCCAGCACTGCAGCACGCCCGGGGCTGGGCCATTTCCGTCCCCACCCCTGGAGCCGAATGCAGGTTAAGGTCATTCGTGGCCTGGCCCCCTGGTGCGGGTGCATTTCCTCTGCTCGCCTCAGGAGCTGTCCTGGGCAGTGTTCTGTCCCTGCCTGGCCCAGCGCTCTCCCTGGAGCACTGAGAAGTCACAGCCTCCGAGACGACCTCTTCAGCTTCAGTCCTGAGCCCGGGACTGATGCAGTCGGACTTGTCAGCTGCCAGGGTGGAGGCCTGGGAGCTCTCAGCCACCAGGCGTGGAAGGGCCCCCAGAGCTCTGAGGCACAAGCACCATAGTTATAAGCCACCCTTGACAGTGGGGACCTTGGAGCTCTTAGCCACGTGGCAGGAGGCCCTGGAGCTCTGAGCCACGTGGTGGGGGGCCCTGGAGCTCTGAGCCACGTGGCGGGGGGCCCTGGAGCTCTGAGCCACGTGGCGGGGGGCCCTGGAGCTCTGAGCCACGTGGCGGGGGGCCCTGGAGCTCTGAGCCACGTGGCGGGGGGCCCTGGAGCTCTGAGCCACGTGGCGGGGGGCCCTGGAGCTCTGAGCCACGTGGCGGGGGGCCCTGGAGCTCTGAGCCACGTGGCGGGGGGCCCTGGAGCTCTGAGCCACGTGGCGGGGGGCCCTGGAGCTCTGAGCCACGTGGCGGGGGGCCCTGGAGCTCTGAGCCACGTGGCGGGGGGCCCTGGAGCTCTGAGCCACGTGGCGGGGGGCCCTGGAGCTCTGAGCCACGTGGCGGGGGGCCCTGGAGCTCTGAGCCACGTGGCGGGGGGCCCTGGAGCTCTGAGCCACGTGGCGGGGGGCCCTGGAGCTCTGAGCCACGTGGCGGGGGGCCCTGGAGCTCTGAGCCACGTGGCGGGGGGCCCTGGAGCTCTGAGCCACGTGGCGGGGGGCCCTGGAGCTCTGAGCCACGTGGCGGGGGGCCCTGGAGCTCTGAGCCACGTGGCGGGGGGCCCTGGAGCTCTGAGCCACGTGGCGGGGGGCCCTGGAGCTCTGAGCCACGTGGCGGGGGGCCCTGGAGCTCTGAGCCACGTGGCGGGGGGCCCTGGAGCTCTGAGCCACGTGGCGGGGGGCCCTGGAGCTCTGAGCCACGTGGCGGGGGGCCCTGGAGCTCTGAGCCACGTGGCGGGGGGCCCTGGAGCTCTGAGCCACGTGGCGGGGGGCCCTGGAGCTCTGAGCCACGTGGCGGGGGGCCCTGGAGCTCTGAGCCACGTGGCGGGGGGCCCTGGAGCTCTGAGCCACGTGGCGGGGGGCCCTGGAGCTCTGAGCCACGTGGCGGGGGGCCCTGGAGCTCTGAGCCACGTGGCGGGGGGCCCTGGAGCTCTGAGCCACGTGGCGGGGGGCCCTGGAGCTCTGAGCCACGTGGCGGGGGGCCCTGGAGCTCTGAGCCACGTGGCGGGGGGCCCTGGAGCTCTGAGCCATGTGGTGGGGCCCTGGAGCTCTGAGCCAGGTGGCGGGGGGCCCTGGAGCTCTGAGCCATGTGGTGGGGGGCCCTGGAGCTCTGAGCCACGTGGCAGGGGGCCCTGGAGCTCTGAGCCATGTGGTGGGGCCCTGGAGCTCTGAGCCAGGTGGCGGGGGGCCCTGGAGCTCTGAGCCATGTGGTGGGGGGCCCTGGAGCTCTGAGCCACGTGGCAGGGGGCCCTGGAGCTCTGAGCCATGTGGTGGGGCCCTGGAGCTCTGAGCCAGGTGGCGGGGGGCCCTGGAGCTCTGAGCCATGTGGTGGGGGGCCCTGGAGCTCTGAGCCACGTGGCAGGGGGCCCTGGAGCTCTGAGCCATGTGGTGGGGCCCTGGAGCTCTGAGCCAGGTGGCGGGGGGCCCTGGAGCTCTGAGCCATGTGGTGGGGGGCCCTGGAGCTCTGAGCCACGTGGCAGGGGGCCCTGGAGCTCTGAGCCATGTGGTGGGGCCCTGGAGCTCTGAGCCAGGTGGCGGGGGGCCCTGGAGCTCTGAGCCATGTGGTGGGGGGCCCTGGAGCTCTGAGCCACGTGGCAGGGGGCCCTGGAGCTCTGAGCCATGTGGTGGGGCCCTGGAGCTCTGAGCCAGGTGGCGGGGGGCCCTGGAGCTCTGAGCCATGTGGTGGGGGGCCCTGGAGCTCTGAGCCACGTGGCAGGGGGCCCTGGAGCTCTGAGCCATGTGGTGGGGCCCTGGAGCTCTGAGCCAGGTGGCGGGGGGCCCTGGAGCTCTGAGCCATGTGGTGGGGGGCCCTGGAGCTCTGAGCCACGTGGCAGGGGGCCCTGGAGCTCTGAGCCATGTGGTGGGGCCCTGGAGCTCTGAGCCAGGTGGCGGGGGGCCCTGGAGCTCTGAGCCATGTGGTGGGGGGCCCTGGAGCTCTGAGCCACGTGGCAGGGGGCCCTGGAGCTCTGAGCCATGTGGTGGGGCCCTGGAGCTCTGAGCCAGGTGGCGGGGGGCCCTGGAGCTCTGAGCCATGTGGTGGGGGGGCCGGGCGCTCGGACTCCAGTCCCTCTGCTTATGAGACATTTGCTTAGCTTTCCGCTCAGCCAATCCCAGCGATTCGTCTGGCCACCTTCCTGCTTAATGCCTGGGCGTGGCCACGTTAAATCTGCGCCCGTTTCCCTTCCAGCAGCCTTGCCAAATGCTCTGCTCCCAGGGCAAGAACCAGGTACGAGCTCATCAGGCTCATGTCGGGGCGGACTCCAGTCCCTCTGCTTATGAGACATTTGCTTAGCTTTCCGCTCAGCCAATCCCAGCGATTCGTCTGGCCACCTTCCTGCTTAATGCCTGGGCGTGGCCACGTTAAATCTGCGCCCGTTTCCCTTCCAGCAGCCTTGCCAAATGCTCTGCTCCCAGGGCAAGAACCAGGTACGAGCTCATCAGGCTCATGTCGGGGCGAGAGCCCTGAAGGCCCCCTTGGGACGTCGGCAGATGATGTTGCTGCAGACGCTGGGGGGGGGCACCAGGTATGAGCTCATCAGGCTCATGTCGGGGCGAGAGCCCTGAAGGCCCCCTTGGGACGTCGGCAGATGATGTTGCTGCAGACGTTTGCTACGCTTCCCTCGCCAGCACTCCACGCTGTCGCGCAAGTTCGTGGAGGTGATGTCCGAGTACAACGCCACCCAGTCTGACTACCGGGAGCGCTGCAAAGGGAGGATTCAAAGGCAGCTGGAAATCAGTGAGTAGCATCATGTCAGGAGAGCAGAGCTCTCGGTGTGGCTGGCTCCGGCAAGGCCCACATTGGCCTGCTTTGCACTGCCGGAGAGCCAGGCCTGCTGGGTGCCTGGACGCAGACAGTCTCGCTAGAAGAGGCAGGGGTGGGGCGGAGCGGAAGCGTGGTGTGAG